GGAAATTAGCAATGTGGTAGGCCTATTTTTTAGGCCAATTGGATGAAACTACTTTTTGTATAATCTTTGCCATATGGCATGCATTTATCAAAGAAGCAAGAACATGAATGATTACCCCGCTATAATTAGCTATGGCAGTAGAGCCTTGTTGGATTATGAGAGTACTCAAAAAATGTCAGAGGAAAGCGCTCTGTGGATGCTCAGCTCCTTCTGGCATGTGATCCCACTCCAGCTGTAATTAGAAGCTTGTGCTCCGTTAAAAACTGATCGGCCATTTCGTAATTACCTCTGATGGTATTTATCCTGTATAGTATCCAGCCTCTAGAAAAAGGAATGGACAACTTCAACATTCCCAAACCCAAGATCTGAAGCAGATGGTGGGGCTGGGCAGCCCCTCGCATCGTCCCTCCCCAGTCCTCAGCTGCTATTTCAGGTGCTGCTGATGAGCCACTCTGCACATGGAGATGCAGCCCTGGGACTGATGTGGTACGGCTCGTCCCAGATAGCTGTTAGTGGAGACTGTTACCAACTAGGAGAAACTTAAGAAAATCTGAGTTCATCTGTATGTCTTATATGGTAAAAGGAATACTCAGCAAATGCTTATTGTTTCATAGTCAGGTTAATTGGGATCACCAGTAGCGAAAATATCGTTGAGTTCAAAAGTAAAAAAGTCCCCCTCTCTTTGTGAGAGTTGTTTTTACTCAAGCCCAGTTACTCTCTCTGGAGGTCAACAATGTGGGTCAGTACCAATCCTGCTTACAAGGCAGTTTCTTTGACAATGGGACAGTCCTGTCTGGCAAATCAGAAGCCACGCTGAACTGCAACTTTGGACATATTTGTCACCATGAATGGGGTTATGGGAAGTATGCGATGTGGCCTCCAAAGAAGCAATTGGATAACATCCAGATTAGAAACAAAAGGGCTTTGGTCCAGACTGATCAACACAAAGAGGCCAACAGCGGCTCTCTCATTGTCCATATCGACATTGTGTGCATTGGGCCTCATTGACTGGATGTCCATCAGTCAGCTGGAATTGTTGCTGACAACTTTATAGGCCCTGATTTAATTCTGTAAGCAGCTATTGACTCGTGTATCTTTGGTAGATTGTTTGTTTGCTAGCTAGACGCTTATGGTGAGAGAAAAAGACTGACAGTCGGTTATTATATTTTGGCAACAAAGTACTGTTTCTTTCTATATCCTAGTGACAATTTCTCAACCCAGTTCACAGGTGCTCTCATCTCCCCTCAGCTACCCAGTTTGAAAGGGATCACAGAGGGCTTTGATGCCTCCCCTCTATGCACTACCCCCCTCCACCCCAAATCCCTCAGCACACAGGCTTCCACACGTGTTTACCATACAAATGACTTCAGAACGACAGGAATGCACCATGTAATAGTAGAGCAACGCTCACAATGACAGTAAAAATGATGTTTCTTTGAAAAAACGTAGGATTTAATTGGTTAAAGTGTCTGTTGTTGCTGTGAATTCCGTAAGAAAGTAGTCCGACGGCAGTTTGATCAAAGGGAGCTGTTTGGCTCTCCTCAACATATCCTTTTTAAAAATATTTGCCTTTTTACATGTGATAATGACTTTGTCCACACTTTTCTGGATAGTTCCACAGGAGCTTGGATCAGCCAATCTGCTTGCTTTATGTGCTTTTCCACATGACACACTGTTGAGATTTGGGAGGTGTATTTATGTATCGGATATTCTGTGACATACAGTTACCCATAACACCCCTTTGTCTTTGCAGGTTTACTCACTGTGGCCATGATCGAGTTTTGAGAATATTGTCCCAGCTGAATTTTGTTGAACTAAATGGTTTACACAACACATCCAAGTTTCAGGAAGCAGCAAACATGTAATTTCCTCTGACAGGTGTTCACATTTTAACATTAATTCCTAAGCACTACAGCTTCAGTAGCCGGTGTCTGACTGGTAAAATGAATGATTTAATGAGTTTCCGTGCGCAGTCATGAATGTAATTGTGTTAAATGATCCAGTACTCTCCTTTGTGTCAGTGCCATGGTAGCTTTGTTTTAATCCCCACATCCTCTGGAGATGGAGGCAATTGCAAGGTTCATCAAAAATGCCTGGTGGACTTTAATGCAGTCCTATTTAAAACCAACATCCTTCTCAGTGCTCATTGGTGGTCTCCAAGTTTTGGTGTTCTGGATGTTAAAGTTTTGAGTTCTTAATTGAAGTCAGGCCTCTGCTTTGCTATTAACATCACTTTGTCATTGTTAATGATGTCTTTAGTTCACTGTGTTTATGTTTAATTGCTGTGATAAGCATGTATTTTGATTGAGTATTGCTGAAATGCCTTCATTGTTTATTTTTTCACTTAGACCCAGTTCCTTGTCTCTTTCGTAGTGTTTTATTTCATTGCGAGTGTCAAAAGGAAGGAGCTACTTGCAGTGCAAGAAATAATCAACAGTAGTCCCAATGTATGTTGTTATTTATCAAGACCTTATACTGATGAATAGAGCAGAGCCTTTCCCATTATTTGATTACTTCATTAAGGACGTGTGCCCATATAGCTCCCACCCCTCTTTGAGTGGAAGCTTTCTGATTTAGTCAGCCGTTGATTGGCCAGGAAAGAGCTTGGCATACTGGACTATTGATGTTATCCCATAAAAGCTCTTAGGGATCTCTTGGCTTTTTCACGAAGGCATTTGTAGCTGTCTAATTGTTTCGTCAAATACTTATCATTGTTTCAGTCCACTTTGCTTTAATATTAATGAGAGTATTCATTAAGCATGCAGGTTGGCTGGAGTATTGACCAAGCATGCGGTTTACAGTTGTCGTTCCCCTGGCTCTGGTTCAGTTTAGTTCAAATTAGGTTGACTACAAAATCTGAGGTTATCATCTGTTTTCCTTTATCATTATAGCTCAAACAGAGATGTACACAATCATAATACACCTGAAAAGAGATTGCTAGCATTGCAATAACTTCAGTAAATCACAATTACAGAGACCCCTACACAGCAGCACAGACATTACAGACAGGAAGGAAAGGAGGAAACATTGCCCAAATTACAGTCTATTAGCCACGAAAACAAACAAATAATGTATGTGAGCAATTGAATCTCCCTGCCAGGGACTGAAAGACACGTTACTGGACCAAATGATGACAAGCTAATAGCAAAACTGATACAATAGCCGCTTCTCACACCAAGTACTTAAAAAGGTTCGCAAAAACTAGGTTCTAGTTCCAGATCTTTTTGGTGTGAACGCAAAATCCCCAAAACTATTGGAGCTATTCCTGGGAAAAGTACTCCGGTGTGAAAGCTCCTATTGATACTTTCAGAAAGATGGAAATTGTGACTAAACTATTAAAGAGCTGGAAGACTGTGCATCATCAGAAGAAAGCGTTATTCCTTTATTGAATACAGTGTTATTGTCATCTTACTGAAGCCCTTCTGCTAGAGTTGTAATTAGCAGTTTAAAGTAAAATCACTGGTTATAAATAACGTTCTTATCTTAAAGGGGACCTATCATGCAAAATGCACTTTTTTGTGTCTTTTATACATAAATATGTGTCCAGATTTGTGGCGGTTTGACGTCATATCGGCAATGCGAACCCACGGCCCTATCAGAAACAATGCCCGACTGTTTTGGCAATTGTATTACCACATCCACTGTAAGTGGGAACAATACAATGCACATTAAACTGTGCCCTGAAAAGATTCTCCTCATCAACTGATCTTATTACCTTTATTTTTAATATTTTGTCAGTGCGCCAAGGAACATTCAGTAAGACCTTGCAGGCTTCAATTTTTTTATAATGGTGCATTGTCGTGTGAGTTATACAAACCGTTTGTGAAGGCATGTTGCAGCCTTATTGTTCTTTAACTCTGGTATGAGGGATGGATCTGTGCCCTCTCTGTTGGTGACTCTAAATCACCTCATTAATCTGCTTCCTCTGCTGAAGATGTCTGGCCCCAGCCGCCTTCCATTAGGAGGAATCCATTATACATGGTGGCCCTGGCCAGAGAGAGGACACACAGAGGAAACTGTGTGTGTGTGTGTGTGTGTGTGTGTGTGTGTGTGTGTTCCCGGCTCGTGGAAAGTAACATACCCAGTTGAAATTGGTAAATAGGAAGTTGTTTTAATGACACAATAACGTAGGCAGCAAACTGCCACAATCAAAACAAAAGGCCACAAAGGCAGCGGTTT